AGAAATGTAATTCTGGTAACAAACACTAAAAATTTTGGCATTTAATCCATTCATTTGGAAATTTTTCCGCTCATGTGGTAACGGTTTACCGGAAATTCTGACTTTTAAAATTTAGTCTTTATTGCCTCACATTTAGTAAAAAATACAAACTTGAGAATTAAATATAATCGAATAAATAGTTTTCATGCCATGCTTTAAGGTATCATGATAAAATTACCAAATTTTATCACTTATTAAACCATATTTTATTGTTAATTTTACCAAAATTATTACCAAAGCACTTCGGTTAAAATTACCGAGATTTTGGTTATCCCACAAGCCCAGAAGCAAGTAAATATTACCTTATTCTGGCAATTTTGACTATATTTTCGTCTAAGTGTGTTTAGAGAGTAGCTTCAAAATTTGTATTCCTCACGTTTTACTTTTCTCCATGAAAAATAACAATTTCATCTATGAATTTCTTTGAAAAGTCTAATTGTTGGTATCACACCAAGTAAAAATATGAATAAAATTTCCAAATATGTTTTTGAGGTGAAATATTTGATTTATTTACATTTTTGTTATCTTTGAATTTCTTCGTTCCTTGAAAAGCCTAAAAGTCGGTATCACACTAAGTAAAATAAGAATAAAATTTCCAGAAATATTTTTAAGAAGAAATGTTCATTTATTTGCATATTTACTTACATTTTTAAATTTAGCTGTAAATTTTTGAAGGAGAGTTTTATGCATGTAATATTAATTATTTATTTTATTTTTATTCTAAGTAAATAAAAAAAAATATTTAAGAGAAATGCGAATTTAACTGATAGTTATTGAATTTTTGTTTCGAATCATTAAATGCCTATATTTGATATATTTATAAAAATACCATGGGATCTATTTTTTTACAAGTGAAATGATTTTCTTAAGATTTTTCTTTATGCTCTATTCTTTTCTTAAAACTTTTTTAAAAGATTTTTCATGATTGATTGCGAAAAATTTGATATGCCATAGTTCCTTCTTGGGATTAGTTAACTGTTTAAGTGTATAGTATAATGGAAATTAGATTACTTCTTTGCCCTTTGTATGGGTAATTATTAGAAAAAAATATTTTTAAATAAGTCACTATACAAAACCCTGTCGAGAAATGAGTTATCTTGCTAAAACACTGTGATTTAAGTGATGGAAAGTGAAAGAAAAGTTTTGAACTGTACTTCAATTTTGACATTTGAGAACGACATTTTATAGCAACAGCAAATTTTCTGTTTCATAAAAAATATTCCTGAATCATACTTTTGTTTTACATAGCATTCATACTAACACTCTATTAATATTTTTAGTAAATGAAAAAAAAATTTCTGTTAATAGTCAGGTTAAGTTGAAATTTTGGCTTGCTGCCATTTTGATCAAGTGCCGGAACTGTTAATGTTTAAAATATTTTTTCTACATTTTTATAAGTGTGTTTATGCATGACACCTGTCAAACTAAATTTGTAAAATAGTTTAAAATAAATTAAAGAATTTCGTTTGCACGCAAAAGTAAATTTAGTTTTAATCTAATGCCTAAACCAACGCAGTTTTAAGTACCTGTTATCACAAAAGTCAGAATAATAAATGAATGCTTTTCGTTATCGTTAATGCTTATAATATTATAAGATAAAAGGAATACAATCATAATTATTGATCATATCATGCTGATTTCAAATCTGCATTCGGTTTCTCTTTGCAAGCTACAGTTGATTTTAAATAGACATTTTGGTATTTTTTTTAAATATAAATTTTTTTGTTGTTGTTTTTGGATAGATATTCCTCAAATAGACATAGATGAGTTACGGCACGTATTTAGGTTAAAAATTGCATACGAGCCCTAGTTCGGAAGTTTCGATATACGCCTCTAGGGGTGCGCCCTTAATATGATCTATTTCTTCTCGCGTTTTTGAATGAGTCATTATAGGAAAACACCCTTAAGACATCATTTCCGGGCATGGGTTCCTAGGTAGTTTCAATCTTGATGATATACCGTAACTCTTCTAAACGTTTGTTGCATCATTTACGTGATCCCCTGTAATGCATACCGTTTCAAAACTTGTACATTTCTACAAAAATATACTACAAATGCCATTTAAACAATTTGTATCCTTAGGAGCAAAGCTAATTTCAGATTTGAAATCCCTACTCCCGAATTAGGCAAGATCTCGCATTTGTGTAAATGCAACAAAAAATTTGTTCCCCAGTGTTATTTTTATAAATGATTACACAATTTAAGCACAAAAGCTAATCGTAAGAATTAGAAATAGCAGAACAGTTTTGAAATAAAAGAATGAGCCCTATAAAAAAAGAATGTTTAAAAAATTCATAACTTCCAGGTCAAATTTGGCTATTTTTTCCACATGAACTCAAGTAGAATATATGGCTTCGGCTTTTCTCTATCAAAGAGGAGTCTTTGGAAAAGAAGATAACAATTATTTCGGTTTAATTTTTTCCAAATAATTTATATTGAATATTTAGTCTATTTGTCAATAATTATCAAAACATGTAAAATACAAAATGTGAACAGGTCAACCGGCACTTAGGGTGATGGCACTTATTACCGTAAATTCCATTTAACCGGAGCATATTACGGAACAAAACGTCTGATATACCGTAATTTTAACAGTAATAGTTACATCAAATTAGTGAACTACTCTAGTTCAATAAACATTATTGTAAAAATTATAGTATAATGTTTAAGAGAAAGTATGAGTTTTATGGTAAAAGGGGTTTTGTGGATGATATAACTAAAGTGACGGTATTTTATACCATAATTTAATACGGAAATTTTTGCAGAGTAGCTAAGTTGCGTAGCCCTTGACTTACTGCATTTTTAGAAAAACCAATTTATTGTTGAACGATTAATGTCTGTAAGCTAAGTCATATTTTTTTCTGAAATTTCAAATTTCAACTGCTTGACAATAAAAAGGAGTAGAGAGCACAAAATAACCCAAATCATCATTTACGCAAATTCTTAATTCAATCAGTCACTTCAAAATTTGGCTCTGTAACAGACTCCATCGGACTGTAACATCATTTGAACTTTAAGTGCTATCCTTGACTCAGTGCTTTCTCAGAAAATTCGAGTCATTTGTAAACAATTAATATTGGTACTTTGAATTTTATTATTTATTTTTTAAATTTCTAATGACAGAGGCTGGACAATACAAACATGAGGAGAACACAAAAATGAACTAAAAGATCAGTAAAAAAAATTCCTACCTCGTTTCACATTTTTTTTAGCAACAGTCACCATCAGACTATAACATGATTTGAAACATTGGCATTATTTGATATATTGCCTTATTCCTTTTGCTACAGTGCATTATTAGAAAACTAAAAATTTTTCCAATGACAACAGCTTGATAATACAAAAGAGAAGCAAACACAAAATTATACCAAGCATCAGTAGCACTAATCCCTATTCGTTCCCTTTGTTTTACAATATCATTTAACAATAAAAAAATAGATGCTCTTGGACAATAAAACAATTTTAAGCTATTGACATTATTTGAATCCCTTCATTGTTTCCTTTGGCTCTGTACATTATTAGAAAACTCGATTCAATGTTGAACCACATGTAAAAAAATTTCGGATGGAGCTACGGTAAAAAGGTTCGGCGATACATTTTTTTTACCGTAGTATCCATTTTCACCGGAACATTTTACGAAACAAAGAGTCTGATGTACCTTAATTTTTACAGTAATAGTTACCGTAAAATCGCTGAATTACTCTAATTAAATTCATAGTATTGTAAGAATTATGGTATTATATTATACGGTAAAAATGGAATTTACGGTAAAATGGATTTTAAAGATAATGCAGCAAAGTGCCGGTACTTTATTCCGCAATTTGATCCGGAATTTTTTGCAAGGCAGGGATGTCTATACCTTGAACAATATTTAAAAAAAAGTAAACGGGGAAGACGTGACAGATCAAAAACAGAAGAAAACACAACAATGAACAAAAATATTAGTAACATAAATTTTTCGTTTGTCCTCTCGTTTCACAGTATCACTCAGCAAACATAGGAATTAAACAATATTTGAGCCATCGGTATAATTTGAAACATTGCATGGTACAATTTGCTGCAACCTTGATAAGGTTTTAAATTGATCCTTGCTTTTGTTCAAATTGAACCAAAGTATCTCTAACTCAAATTTGAAAATAAAAATTAATTCGCACGATAATATGTTTAATTTGTCACATTATTTAGGCTGCAGTAAATTTGAATGGCATTCTTGTTGAACACAATAGCGGAACCTTTCAGTAATAGGGCTGCAAACACCTGACGTCATTTTTAACCACCTTGTAAGATAACTTTTTCAAAACTCCCATTTTAATCTAATTTCATATTCACTAAAATTCAAGAAAAACTCCAGATTTTTGAAACTACCTCTCTTTATTTCCACGCGAAATTAATGTAAAAGTCTAATGCCCTTTGGTTGCCTTGTTAAAATATATTTTCAAGACCAAACCTCTTCTATTTTTTAATTCATGAATTCCAAAATATAAGTACCCGGACGTCTCGCTTCAAAACGGCAGATTGATTTCATCAAGATTCCCCTTCACATATATTCTCCCCCTCTTTCTTAAAAATCTGAAATTTTAAGCAGCGAAAAAACATTTACATATTTTCTTCTTTCCTCTTTTAACATGACTTTTCATGTAATGGTTTACATTTTGATGACCAAGACGTGTTTTCGGGGATAAAAATAAAATAAAACATTAAGTTATTCTTTTTGGTTCAATTTTGGGGATGGAGCGGTGGGGTTGTCCAATGTGTTTTTAATGAGTTCGCCTCGATGGAAAAGTTAGGCGAGGGCCACTGTTTAGGACGCTAAAGAAAAGGGCCGTAGCTCTAAGTGAAAGGGGGTTTCTCCCTCAAGTGCTCGCGAAAGATCGACTACTACTGGCTCGATCGATATGGACTTGCGCAAAAGAGTACGATTGTTTGCCTCTCTCGCCACTCTCCTATAAAAACCCCATTGCCTAACTCACAAACCCGAGTGGTCCGGCAACGTATGCTCTTCTTCCTGCAAACCAAGTGAAATAGCGAGACTGCAAGTTGATGTTGTGTCTACACATCGCTTTTTCACTCATTTTACATGGTTGTCAATAGAAAGCGCGCGCTGATTTATAAATCTGTGACTTAATCGGACTAAGGTTCGCGTCCCGTTAAAAGTTTGTGAAACTTTCTCGCGGACTTTCATATGCGTCTCCAGTTTGTGTATTGTGAGTTAGTATGAGAGAAAATACTATATTTTATATTGCCTCCTGTAGTAATTTTGAAACGAAAATTGTGAATGTTTATAAAGTCTAATTTTAAAATATTTCTGTGTAATATTTACAAACTATCAGTTATGGATTTTTTAAAATTGGAACAGATCTATTTTGGAGAATAAGTGAAGGTTTCTGAAAAATATAATAAAAGAAAGCAGTTTAAATGTTAATTAGATTATGGAATATCAATTTGAATTGACTGTATAAATATTTGGGGTATAAATACTTTTATGTATTCGTAAATATCTTTGCATTTTAAAAATAGTCAATGCGTTATCACAAGTTAGGAGTTAGGGAAAAACATTTGCGACAGATGTGCCAAATGTGGAAACATTTGTATAATATTCTATATATCTAAAACACTGACTTGAAATTAGTAGCAACAAATATACATTTCAATTTTCCAAAAACATTTTATTTGTTGGATGCATTTGTATCAAATGCGTTTGATGTGATTATTATCTTCTGTGAGGAGACAGTTAAAGCTTGAACGAAATTTCTCAGAGCAAAATAAGCAAAAAAACATTTATTTATATTGAGGGATGAAAATATGTTAGATATAGCTTGATTGAATCAAATGACTTGTACATTAATAATTTGAGATACTATATAACCAATATACTGTCATGGCATTAACAGCAATTGTAAAGAAGAATAGGAAATGCGGATGGTGTCATGGATTTCATAGAAATGTCATTTTGGTATTAACGCTGCTTGGAACATTTCCATTAGTGGGTAAGTTCAATTTTGTATTACTAGTATTAAATTATTTATAATCATATTATTGAATGAAAATTGTTCCCGTATAGAGTATCTTTTATAATTCCTTACAGTTTTCAGCTATTTTAAAAACTTTAAAAAGATGCATGAATCATTTTAAGTGATGCATATTAAACTTCTTTTCTGGTCAGCAAACTTCTATCAGATTTTACCTTTGTATACATTTAACTTTAAAGAGATGTATAATAAAACTGTGCAGCACTGAGACATTAAAAAAACAAGTAATTTTAATTTTATTTTTATTGCAAAAAAATTAAAGTAACATTGCTGACTTGGAACTTTTGTACTCAAATGTAAATATGCTTTTGTGCAAAAATATATTCTAAAAACTGACTCTTTGTACGTCTAAACGTGGCATTTTATGCGAATTAAGTAAATGATAAATAAAATATTTCATTAAAATTAAACTCATTCATTAAGATTAAGAATAAGATTTCATTAAGATTAAGATAAAAAATTAAGATTAAAAGACGAAACTTAATATGCCCTTTTGAGTCAATAATGATTTTTCCATTATGAAATTTTTTCCTTAATTTTGAATGCTTAGAACAAAGGATAAAAATGCTTAGAACAAATGAAATGTATTGGTGTAAAGTTAATAAAATGAAGTTTGTTATAAAATTATTTCAGTGGGAAAATAAAATTTGAGTTAAAAGTGCTACAATTATGAAAAGTAAAAGTATGTTTTTGCGAACATACAAGTTTAAAAAAGTAATTGTAAAGTACAACCAGGAAAAACGTAAGCATTTCTTATAATACTGGAAATGCTTTTTAACGGTTAGTTTATAAACTCAATTTACTCATTCAATTTTATCTGGTTTAATACATTTATATTATTTGAATGAAGTTTAACTTACGCGTTCAGTTTTATTCAACTTAAAAAACTGGTTACCCCTTTTTTTGTGGGAAAAGACTAAGAGCCTTCAAATAGAACCAAAACCTTCACTTTTTCTATAAAAATATCGATGCAAATATTCAAAATTTACACACATGAATCTTTTTGACTCTTTGAAATTTAGAAAAATAAAGTCATTTTGCAGTTCAATAAAGTAATTTCTTGGATTTAAATAAACTGTTTTCAATAATAATGATACTAATGTAATTTTTTTCCTGAAATATAAATAGACCTTTGAAATCTTTAAAAATTGAATTTTTAAACTTCATTCAGTTTGACCGAAGACGTATTTGAAAAATGCCTTAAATCATAAATTACGTCTAATCATAAATTACGATTAATTAATGACATTTACTGAATTTTGTTAAAGTTTAATTTTTCATTTACCTTTTAAAGACTAACTTCAAAGTTTTAGTTTTCAAAGAATTTGATAATTATTCTTATTTTAATATATTTTAATATTTTAATATATAGATAATTATTCTTATTTTAAGTAAATTGGTTAATTAATTAATGTGTTATTGTTTCCACGAGAGTAAAAAAATTGTGTTTTTGGAACTAGCCATTAAAGTTCCGAAAAACCTATTTTATCAGTATACAAGTAAATACAAACCGTATTGTATCTTTCTTATTTGTATGTGCATTAAGTTATGTTTTATGGAGATATTCTAAAAATTAATTTTGTTACAAAATATGCAGAAAGAATAAACATTACTTAGCGAATAACATTGGTTCACTCTAGAACTTCTATTAAATTTTCCCTTTTTCTCTTAATTTAATTTTTTCACAGTATTCGAAAAAGATCATAGTTTGCAGTGAAATGCACTAATATAAAAAATAAAATTAACTAAAAATATAAACATTAATGTAAAAAATAATAAAGTTATTTGAGAAGTCAATACCTTTAAAAGCATAATATTTAATAATACTGACTTGTTGTAATAAATTTAAAATTTTTTTATTTATTTTACATCTAAATTTTTGAAGGAAAAGTAAATAGATGAGGAAATTTATACCCAAAAGAAAATTACTCGTGAATTAACGGGAAAAATCCTCAGTTAATATTTATTCCATGACTTTTTGATACATCGATTATTTTTCTTTTAATATAGTATAAAATACATATGAGTATTAAACAATTAGTGATAATTTTCGACCAAATGCCAAACTCATATACATAATTAGTGTCATTAAATAAGAAAAACAAAGACTCTTATAAAAGAAGTCGTTCTTGAAAGAGATTACGCTGAATTGTATTCGACAGCTGTTTAGATAAATGGATTATTTGGACTGAAAGAAACACGGACTATTTTATGTTTTACAACGTGCAGTGAACGAATAAGCTAGTACCCTGAATAACTTTCGATCTAATGATCAGATTTTATGTAATTGGACTATGACTAATTAATACAGATATTTTAAGTTTCGAAATTCAACGTTATTTCTCTCAAAATATTTTTTTCGACGGATGCAGAACCTTGACACTCAATATATAGTAAGTAGCCACAAACTGGAAAACAGGATCCCAATAATTTAGGGAGAAAAGTGGTAATAAATTTCAGCCCCTTAATTTTAATTTTACTTTTCACGTTTTCAGGCTTCCCAAATAAGCGGTATTTTTAAGTTTTTATTTCTCAATAACTATTCAACTGATCTCGTCCACAATTCGAATTTTGACATTTAAAATTACTTAGATTAAATTTTTATACCTTACAATATCAAATTTTATCGGCAAATAGTATTAATTATATAATTAAATAATAAATAATAGTATATAGTTAATTAATAAATAATAATATAATTGAATAATAAATAATAATATTATTAAATAATAAATGACAATATAATTAAATAATAGATAATAATATAATTCAATACTAAAAAAATAGTAAGTATTCAAAAAAAATTTTTTTTGCGTGGAATTCTCTTTGGTATAATCCAGATTTATAATTGCGTGCTAAAATAATTTGATTCGCTTCATTAGTTCCGGTAATATGGTGAGTTACGCAAAAAGTGATCATTCGTCCTTTCGTTTGCCTGAACTATTGGGACAATCTTTCCCAGATTTCAGCTACTCGCGTATTATGATGGCTAAGATAAATCCGTCAAAAGAAAGGGTATGTTTATTCAGAGAAAGTACGTTTTTGTGAATAATTACGTAACCTAAAATATCGTCCTCACTAATTAATTAGTATATTTAAGTTTAGGCTCTTTAACCATTAACATTAAGTACTAGTACGTGAAAATCTGATAATTAGATAAGAAGTAATTCCGGGTGATTTCTTTCTTGTGTCGTAAAATACGAATTTTGTTGCGTCGTAAAACATAAATTAGTATGCGCTTATTTTAGTCAAAGTAATTCATTTTTTTAAACGGTTGTCATTTTTCTAAACGGTTTTAGTTCAATCTTTTACTATGCAATTCAGTAGCTTTTAAGGAACATTAAACCATTTTTTTTATTATTTTAAATGCAAAGAATTGAAAATAAAGTGAGCAAAATGAAAAGATGGTTCTTTTATCATCGAACATAGCTTTCCCCATCTTTAAAAAAAATAAGTAAGCTGTAAGATTTTTTTATGAATAGAATGCTAGCAAATCTATATATGGACATAGTAATTTGTGAATAAAATACCTAACTAATCTGTATATGGACATGCAGTTTTGGGGGAGTGGAGTTGCTCTTACAACGTGCAGAAACCTTTTATTTAAATTCAATAAAACTATATTTAAAAATTACTTTCATCGAAGTAATGAAATATTTTTTCGATATTTGAATATTTTTCTGTTTTGGTTTACTTTTTTATAAATTCATGATAACTCAAAATTGCGCAAAATCGTTAACTCGTTCAAGTTTTTGAAAATTCTTTTGATTCCCTGAAATTTTCCTATAATAGAAATATAACTTAGTAGCAAATTCAGATTTTTTTAAAAATCGATTCTATTCTTATATCTATACGTATTCTAATTATTATCTTATTATTTTATACTTATATCTATACGTATTCTTATTATCATCTTGATATTTAATACTTATATCTATAATTATTATATAATCATCATTATAAAATAGCATATTATTTATAATTTCGTTTGTCGACGTTCTATATTTACATCTTACTTTCTATTGCATAAATTTGTTTGATCATATTTTTTTCTTTATGATAATCGTGAATGATGTTTAGTGAATGTTAAATTCAAATTTAGAATTATATTATTTTCAAAGTTCTTAAAAAACCTGTGAAATTGTCTCTCAAATCAGTATTGCTCATTTCTATTCTTTGTAACACAAAATACTTATTTCTAGGATAATTTGATAAATTTATATTTTCTTATCGTTTTTATTATAATATTTAACTCACAGAAATTCTTCTGTTTGATTTATAACAGTTCAACGATTTAAATGGGTTTGTTTTCTGTTTCTCACATCTAATATACAATTATTATTATCCTTTGCTTTGTTAATAAAATTTAATATATTTATATTGCTGCTTTATACCTTATCCACTGTTTGATACCATAGATTTTATTTTATTTTATCTAATAAAAACAATAAGAATTTTATTGCAGTTTTTATTGAAAAGCATCACTGTTAGTCTTGCGTCTATTTTCAATGAAAATTTCATTAAAAATTAACAATGTTTTCTATAAAAACCTATTATATACTTCATATAGTAAATTGTTTATATAATTATAATAGTAAATTGCTTATTATCGTTTCATGCCATAATATTATTAATCCTCTACTAACAGTTTTATATTCATAAAATATGCAAGCATTTTTAATCTTCATTTTAATACTATAGTTTTGTTTCATTATATATATATTTCTTTAAAATTATCACGAAAAAAATTAATGTGACTATATTTAACATTCTAAATGATGAAACCCGTAAGTTTCATTTATACCATCCCTTTTTTTCAATCCTTCACATCAGTAAGTATGGTAAATATTCTTTTGAAATATTCCTTATGGCAAGAATGCACGAAGAGAAGTTCGTGCGAAGGCAACACCTGTCAATTCTCCTCCCCAAATCTGAGATAATTCTGGCGAACGCGAAAC